TTGGAGGGTGTTACAACTCTCCCATCTCCATTATCTGCCACAAGTTTGCCCTGTCTAAACTAAAATGCATTATGTTTACCTGTGCGAATTTAATATAAAGCAAGCAACTTTTTTTTTTGAAGTTCTGTTTGTACAACTTCCTTAACAATCTCGCAATGTAAATGTACAGTATTTTAATTTGTTTCCTACTGTACTTCACCATGTATAGTCGTTACCTTGCAATCTGGGTAATAAATATATATGAAACATTTTCTTGTAAACCTTGTTTATTTTGTCGCGGTTGTAATGCTTTCTTGTAATAGAGATGGTTTTCGTGCTTTTACTGCTCGAAAATCAAAATGTTGTGACGTTTATTTAACCAAAAAAACTTGTGTGAAATGCTTTAAGAACAGAAATCATTCAATTGTGAAGCAATAATGAGTTCAGATATAACTGACTGGAGGTTAGAAAAAAAACAAGATGCATATTTGGTAAATTCTTTTAATCTTGGCACGTGTGGTTTGCATTACTAGTGTGAGATCAGATAATGTGAAATAACATTTAAGAAAACTAATTGAAAAATTATATTTAAGAATGATAAGCTTCTATTTTACTTACAGGTATATACCCTATAATAAACATAGTTGAACTCTGGTGACCTTGCCCTTTGTTATATAATATAATTCCCTTTATCATATTTCGTTTCAATATAAATATGCATTGTCATAATTAATTTTGAATACAAACAAGTTTTGGGGTTGAACCAACAGTGGGGAATCAGTCTATCGAATGTCCTTAAAAGATGTAAATATCTTACAAAAACATTGGTGCCTTATTTGTTTAATTATTATAAGGAACATAATTTCCAGCTTTATTGAAAGTAATTGAGATATTTTAGAATAAAAAACAAATGTCTCATTGCAAAAAAAAGTGCTGCATTTAGATGTGAATAGATTCATAAAACATGCAAGATAACAGAAAAATTTAGCTGGCTTTAGTTCAAGTATTTTGTACAGGTGTCTGTCAAAAATGAATGATTCACTGAGACAAATATGGACTTCCTCATTGTGTGACTACTGTATTATATGAAAAGTAAAAAAAACACCCTTTATGAATAGCTATCATGTTGCAAGCTCTGCTTTGTATGCAAATCAACTTAAATAGTTGGTGTCCAGTGGAGGGAGAAGCCTCCTGAGAAACTACATCTTCAAACACTGCAATCTCTGAAGTGCGTTATTAAACTAGTATTATAAAAACTCTATCATTCTGTTCTAATAGCTGAAACATATACCTGTGAGTTTTCATTTGTCGAATGAACTGTTTGTCAAATACAGAATACATATATTTTAGAATAATTTTCTTTTTAAAATGTGGATGAAATGTTTTGCTTTTAATGTATTGTTTTTGATTTGATAACTTTTGACTAAACAGATTTTCAATTAGCTTCAGATCTTGATCAAAGTTTGGCACCCAGTTCATAGCAGTGCTTATATTGATTTTCTGACATCTTGTTTTCTGTAAAGATTTTATTGGTAGGTTTGCAAATGTGTATCAGACTGTGCAATCTCTCCATGAGTTGGTTTTGAAACCCAGTATGGGATTCTGAGATACATTACCAAGGATATTATTACAAGTTAAATCATTTGCTTCATTGAACACACACAACAATGCATATTTCCACCGAGATCAGTGACCTTTGATGTGTATCACCAGTGATCAGTCAAGTAGAAACAGTCAAAATATTTTATCAGATTTTCTCAATTTTTGCATGATATTTTCATACAGGACATCTGTTGTTCAAACTCAGGGAAGACTTTATACTGATGAATAAGGTGACCAAGTTTGATAAAGTTTGGAATAGAATTAGTAAAGTTATTATGCACACAATAACAATTATTAACGACGACGACGACGACGACAACAACAACAACAACAACAACGCCGGACAAAATTTTTCCCTTAATATACCTTTCCTTTCCATCTTTGATGGTACGGGCAAGGTAAAAATGCCAAACAAACATTTTTTTGAACACTTTTCTACCTTCTGCTGGCTGTCTGGCTCATTAGCGCAGAGCATCTATGTACCAAGTTTCAGAGTAAGCGGTTCTTTAGATATCAGTGGAACAGACGCACACACACATACACATCTAATCTATGTTGTTACAATACACATTGGATTAACTTTTAATATAGTTGAATGAAGTTTTAATAACTTATGTTATGTTTAGATTAAAGGGCAACTCACTATAGGGTCGTGATTTAATTTGTGTTCAATTAAACTCAATGCAATTGCAATTATATATAGAATTGCATTTTAATTGAAGTTTAATGAAAATGCAAAGTAGAAAAAACATCATACATCCTGTAACATAGAAATGTTTACAAAGCTTCGGATTAGTATAGGGGGTAGGTACAGTTATATTAAATTTTATATAAAGTTGACCATACCTCCCCCCTTTACAAACCCCAAGCTATGCAAACTTGTCTTAAATTTTATTATATATTCATATAAAAAAACGTTGAGTAGACACACACACACGGCACACATACACAAACATGAGCCGGTATGCTGGTTGGCGTTCAGCTCTGCTTAAAAAACAAACAACATATTTTCGGCTGTTTCAATGGTAGGACGTGAAGCTAACTTATGCTTATAACTAAAACCGAGTCCAACATACAAAGTTCGCAAAATGCATTCAGTCTTCAGAAGTCACTTCACTTTATTACTAGCATGTATTTTTGCTCTTATAATTATTATATTCACGCAAGTTGACCCCTTAACCTATATTTCAATAAGATGACAAATTTTCTACTGTTTTGCAATGGTATTTTCTAGATTCTTTGAACGCAGCATTTACAGTTCATTCAAAGGTCAAAGTTGTTTTGGAACTTATGTTGATAAAGTGTAACAATGTCGACACCGGTGATCTCTCGTCAGTGCGCAACTAAAAAGCATGATCATTTGAACACTGCTAATACAAGACTGGTATAATAATTTGGGGCGAAAGTATTAAAAAAATCATTTTCTTTTTTGGCTGTTGCCATGGCAATGGTGGGTCAGGAATTTTTTTCTGATTTTACCAATCAGAGTGATGGTATGACCTGCCTGCCAAGTTGAAGCAAAATTGGCCCAGCTAAAAAAAATTACAGAAGAATTAATACGTGAAGACACAGAAAATCACAAGCACACACACACACACACATAGTGATTTTAATGGCAATCCTCACAGAGAGGATTGCCAGCATACAGACAGATGTACTAACTGCAAAGACTTCTTTTGTGTGCTACCCTGCATGATTTTTGTATCTAAATTGACCAACTATTAACTATCTGTGTCTGAAGAATCTTCAAGATGATTAAATGTAGCAGAAAAGATTGTGACTGTATGTGAATAATATGCAAGCCTGTCGGCAGTTTTGTTCCTGGTGTGACACACTTGAACTAACAAGTTTGAGACCTTGAAAACATTGAATTCTGATGTGTACGCTAAAAAATACATTATTAACCCCTACAAGCTACAAACACATGGTTGATATTTTAAAGCATTGTAACCTTTATGTAAGAAATGTATTTACAATTATCAGGTACTTATTCAGTTATTGATGCATACTCACCTAATGGGTTGTACACTAAGTCTAAGTCTAGACCAGATCCTGGTTTACCATACCCCAGGGAATTCAACAGTAATAAAGAGCGGATACTTTTATCAAAAACTCCACTACCTCTCTGTAAATTAACATTCTTTTTACTACAAACAATACAAAGATTGAAAATGAAAGATTAAAAAAGTTATACATGTATATCAAAATAGGTCATTACATCATCCTACCAAAAGAGGGCAGTATACATAATAGTGATTCATGATGAAATTCTTCAATTTATATTAGTTTTAACTCTCATGTGGTCAAGTCAATGTAAAAGTACATAGAGCTGACAGTATTATGGTTAGTCTCAATATTTGTCATATCCATTAAGTGTAACAATGTTGTATAGTTGATAATAGCATTTGTTACCATAACAACAAAACAAAAATTATCCCTATGATATAAACAAATGTGTAAGAGGTCCACCCATATAAAATATCAAAGATAAAGTCAACAATTTCATTTTTTCCCAAATATATTCATTAAATTAAGAGAATATAAGGCATCACAAGATGTCCACCAAGGTGTCTACATATAAAATATCAACGCAACTAGGCTAGGCATTTTAAAGAAGTAGAAAAAGACTTTTTCACTAAAAATGATGAAAATATTCAGCAAGATTTGAAGATCACAAAAACGAACAAATCTGAGAGAGGTATACCCAATATACTGCATGAGTATCAAAGCAAGTGGACTTGCAGTTTTCAAAAAATTATGAAACACGCCCCCATTGATATTATTATCAGTTTACTTTGTTTATTTTCAATCAAAATACTTACCTGTAACTTGGCAATGACGCAACGATCTGAATCTGATTAGCTGCAAGGAATTCAGCAGTATCCTCTTGCCCTGGTTCTAATAGTGCAGTTAGGTTACACCTATCTAATACCTTTTTGCCTAACTCTCTGGCAGACTTAGCAAGATAACGGAACTCATTGCACAGTTCTGGGGCACCACCTGTGAAGAAGTTTACAGTGTCCATAACAATGTAATGGACTTTGTTTTGGTGTTTTTATATGTACGTTGTAATATATTTCTAATGTAAATTCCTGAATAGTATTATATTAATTATATTCTACATATATATACTTGACATGCATGTGTGTCTTCTAAATTAAATTTATAAATTATTAAACGTAATTCAAGAAACTCATTTGATTTTCAGAAAAAGTTACTTACTTTTATACATATATAAAAAGAAACAATTTATATTCGTTGATACATGCATATTTTCTGGTTAAAACAAATTTCTTTTACAAACAAAAATTTTTCAGAACTTTTTCAGAATTAATTTTGACACTATTAATTTAATTTAATTGTATTAGAATAAATAAATACACAAATTATTGGCAGCTCATTAATTTCATCCATCTTCTGTGAGGTACGAATTTATGTTTATTTATATTCATAAATATTTTTTTCAACATCAATAATACTTGTACGTAATACTTATTCCATTAAGGATGTAGTACATTTTTTTATGGCACATGCTAATCAAAGTGAACTTTTTATACTTTATTACAATCTATAACAATGTTTAATTATTCTATGGAAATTTCATACAGTGGTCAAAATTAACAACCCACATTGTTATAAATTACTAAATTTGCATATTTGCATAGATTTTAAATAATTAATAAATCACAGTCAAGTATGAAATAATTTTTGAAAATCTTTACATTGTCACACGCAGCGTAATATTACCGTAATTGGTATAGTACAGGTGTGATGGTTCAAATATCAAAATGGCAACAGTAACAAAAAGACTTCCCTGGCGGCGATGATAACAATACGAACACGGAGCCAACAGATGAGGTTTCAACTGGTACTGGTATTATTATACTCTGCAAACATCAAGTACAATAACGTGGTAAAACTCCACTACTCCAATAACTAGATACTTAAACTCCAATACAATTCTCCGATCTGATCTCAGTGCTGAACAACTCCCCTATATATACCCGCACTGTCTATAAATAGACCATTACATCAGCATACATAATGAGTCTTGAGCTTACTACAAATTTCTAGAATGTTCCATTACCTTCCATTGCCTCCTACAGTGTTCTATTACCTATTCAACCAGTTTCTAAAAAAATATAGAATATTCCACCCAGACACAGTACGGTTCTAGAACATTCTCAGTGACATGGAAGTGGTAAATAAGTCGTATGCGACATGCCTCCCCTCTCAAGAATATTATAACATATAATATTACATGACTAGCAACGACGTCAATAATACGAAGATGAACAATTTCAAATAAAACAACAATACAATATATCAAATCGAACTGAATAAAGCTCTGAGTACATAAATTCGAAAATCACATACAATAAAATATAATAAAATATGAAATATAATCATAGACGAATAACATTCTACTATACTGTTCAAAGTTCCTCAGTCCATGAATCTACTCAGGTAGTCCGCTACCACATTGTCCCGTCCA